ATTCAGTCGGGTTTAAGGGAATTACGTATCTTTATAGGTTACTATTCGTCGTCTTATTATTCTCGCTATTCCTCTACTCTCTAGAGTAGTAAAACCCGGTTAGCGTTACTCGATTCTAGTATATTAATATTAAGTATCTCTTCCTATAATAGTATTAAGATTAGCCTTTTTAAAGTTTTAACGTTTATTATTCTAAGAAAAAGGATCCCGCGATCTATAAGATATAATTTTAGCGCTCGAGAGATCGTTAAGTTATAAAAGTTAAAATCCTCTTCGCTCTAGCCTTAGAAGTCCTTAATAAACGCCTCTAAGAGGTAAACTCCTTTTATAATTCTATATACGCTTATTACTTTAATAATCTATATACTTTTAAGATTAATAGATACCGAATCTAGTAATCTAAGGAACTATAATTCTACTCTATTTACGATAAAGTCGATATCGAGATCTTTCTTAACCTTTTATATTAAGTATCCTATACTAAAGTCCTTTAAGATAGCGTTAAACTCCTATTATAGCTTTTTAGCGCTCTCTTACTCTATTATAGAGCTATTATTATAATCTAAAGAATTTATTATCGCTAATTCTATTAAAGCTTTACTATAGCCGATTAATTATTCTATAAAGCTTCGTTTATTAGGTTTTATAGCTAATACTATAGCTTAAGTAATAATCTTAAGCGTAAGAGTCTTAAGATATTTATAATAGATAGTACTCCTCTAGATTACGTAATAGGGGAATTCCTTATTATTAAGCTTTTACGAGAGTCCTAAAGTACTTATAAGTAAAATAGTACTCTTATAATTACTTATAAAGTATAATCGATAAGCTTACGTATAGTAAATATACTATTTATAGGATCGATCCTAACTTCTCTAGCTCTAGCTATTCTATATTACGTTAAATATAATACTAATTAATATTAAGAGGGCTTTATTATTTATATAAACCTTAATTTATTACTTTAATTATATTTAAAAGCTCTAAATTCTTAAAGTAAGTAATATATATCTTCTATCCCCCTTTTTCCTATCTCTATAGATTATAGTTACCCTCGTAAAGTAGATATACCTATTTAATTTACCGATTACGTAAACTATAATTCACGTACTCTTAAGAGCTATGAATCCGTGGCCATAGTAATCACTAGGTCGGTAATCCCTATCGGGATCGCCGCCCTAGTGAATTCCCTAATATTAGTTCAATAGAGGTAGAAAATCCTCGGCAATCGGCATTTGGCAAGGTTGCATAAGCAGAGATGGAACGAATGACTTGGGTTTGGAGCGGGTTGCTTCAAAGACGCCAGGGAGGAAGCATCGACACATGGAGGATCTCGGTCAATCGTCCCGAGATGGTAGACATGTGAAGAACCATGAACGAAATGACCATGAACGAAATGACCATGAACGAAATGACGTAGGACCTGAGGCTATTGGGGGGCTTCCAGGACCTTCCACCGGACCAATGAGGTTCACACACCACGTTGGCGCGACTGTCACAAACTGCCGCAATGACGCAGAGGACGGCTTGGGAAGGGCCTGAGGGATCGAACGCGTGGGGCATGAAAGCGAAACGGTGACCTTTCAAGACACAAGTCCGTTGCTGCATGGTGTCGCTGGCTAACAGAGAAAGAGAGAGCCCAGCGGTTGACACGGGCTCAGTGAGGGTCAAAATGAGGACATTCGCAGAGGGGTGCGCAGCATGCGAGTCTGACGCCATGATCGGCAGCGATCGACGAGGAAGAAGCATGTGTTTGGCACGGCTGGCGCCATCCGGACCACTACTTAAAGCGGTTGGGGCTGTGTTGTCATTTGAGCCTCACGATGTTGCTAGGGGAGGTTCGTTACTATTTCTCGGAGGACGTTCTTGTCAGATGCCCGGAGGCATACTCAGTTTTCCCTTGCAAAGTTGTATGATGGTGGAATGCGAGTTTGGTTGTTTCGCGATAACATTTCCCTGGGCGGCAAATGGAAGCGCGCAGAATGGCAGCGAGAGAATGTCCGTAACGGAGCTAGCCCTGCTAAACCTGCGGCATGCAGGGTCGCGTCCCATACCACCACCACCATCCTCGACTGGCAAATGATAAGGCTGAGAAGACCATTTTCGGCTCACTCTCGATGCCCGATGGCCGCAGACGCAGCACCCTTGAATTGTTGGGATGTGTGAGAGTGAATCGAGCTCCTCGTGTTTGCCGACGCGAGGAAGGTTTCGGCAGAGTCCATGCATGGACAACAATACGCCGGGTGATTGCGTGGCAAATGCACATCAGATCAGGACACCCTGCTGGCGGTCGAAAGGGGGGTCGATAAGCCAGCCTGGCTTTTGCAGGTGTTTCGCCATCAAAACAACGGCAGCACTTCGGACAGGCACGCATCACACCCTTCCCTTCGGCAACGAAGGGGCAGGATGATGGTGAGGAGAAGCGATGCGAAGGCGGCGTCTTGTCGCATTGGTTGACTAGTGCATGCGACCGTACCAAGCACATTTGTCTTCCGGATGGCCCAGATGGAACGACGGAAATGCTATTCTTGTGCACAAACAGACATCGATAAGGGAGCCTCGAACCACCGAAATGACCCAAGGGAGGGAGAGGCGAAGGTGCTGAACACGAAAGAGGGTCAGTCAAGTCCCCTGGCTCTGGGTGTCCTTGGCGGCCCGCCCTGACCGGGATACCGTTTTCAGAAATCAAGGTCCGGAAGAGCCGCTGCCTGTCTGCTGGCAGGACGAGGAATCTGCAGCGACGACAAATCATCCCACGCTTCACAGGTGCTGGCATGTGAATACCCCTGGCAGATGACGTGGGGGATCAGCATGTTTTTTTTTGTGTTTGCTTGACCCCTGACACACCCGTGGTTCGTTGAGGTTTCACGACATACACGCCATGGCGCACGCCCAACCGCGTGCTTGGGACCTGGCAGGCGTCAGATTGTTCGAGATGAGGAATCGAAGACATGGCCCTTGAGTCGACACATGTTGGGCGCAGGCGAGATGATTGGGCTCGACGAACAGGCACAGAGTCAGGCAAGACAGACATGTCGACCAGGCAGGTCGATGCCAGGTCTATGCTGTTACTCGGTGGCTTCGGATGACTCGATCGAGCAAACCTGAAGAGGGTCTCTCGATGGTTAGGCGGGGGGGCCGCAGGGGCGACCAAGCGGTGATGAAATGCAGAGATAGCAGGCGTCTCGCGTTCGTGTCGAGTGGTCTAGAACAGACCTCTGGAACCTCGATGGGATGGTCGGCGAATCGCTAGCTTCGTCAAGGTCTCCATTAATTCGATAGAGACCATCGTAAAGGGGCCCTGGGGTCGTATGGGTCGAAGGGTTCGAAGGGGTCGATGAGGGGGGTGGTTTTTGGCTTGATGCTTGGAAATGGAGGTCTCCAGCAGCCAGCAGGGAAGAGATACTCGATCTCGGTCCAGACACTCCATGCAGCGGATGGGTCACATCACCAAGAAGTGTATGTCTGTCTTGGAGGGGTCTTGAGGATCTCGTCTGCCCTGAAAACAACGGACGACGGAACGGGAAACGAAAACGGATTGCGTGACGAGGCTGTCGTTAGCAGAGCAGGTACCTGCAGCCCAGGCATGGTGCCCTGGTACGGCCAGTGCGTTAGCTCGACGTCGTGGAACGTGCGCGTTAGTGGGGGAGGCGCCAGCTGCGCTACCCATTGTAACGACTCCAGTTTTCTGGCTTTTTTTTTCCTGCTTCGCCTTCGGTTCCCGCTTTGCGTTGCGCATCCATCCCAACTGTGACGGACTTCGGGAAGCTTTGCTTTGGTGTGGCCCCGCTATGATAAGCACCACCATGGTCAAGCATGCCTTGCGGGCAAAGAGCGGACATGCCTGCCATGCCTGCCACGCCCGGAGAAGTCATGGCATTGGTCGTCGTTGTCTTGGATGAAGGTCCTTTCCTGGCCTTTCGCTTTCCATCAAATGCCCCCTCCATCCCTCCTTGATCCGGAACACCAACTCGACTCTCTTGCTCCTCGACATGGTCCACGACACCCCAGTGCGCTGCTTTGCAGTCCCTTGACACACCACCGTTGCAGCTCAGTACCATTTATCCAGGACATTTCCGCCCAGAGCGCTCCACAAGTATCCGTCGTCACTCCGAGCATCATTCGTCTGAACCGACTTCGAAAAGCCAGCCTCTTGACGAGCTGATCAATCTCTCTCTCAATCGCTTACCAACGCCGGCACGAAGGCCCCATCGATAGCCAGGCGAGCTGACCATCGCCATGGCCGACCGCGCGTACAGAAGCGACTCGTCGAGCCCAGAGTCTCGAGACCCCTCTCGCTCCCCCGCGCCGGCGACTGCATCCACTCAGACCCACGATGGGTCAGTAATCCCTGAACCACCCCGCCCCGAGTACTCGAGGAGCAACTCGGATACCCCAAACAAGAAGGAGAAGAAGAGAGTGGGATTCACAGGTGGAAACGAGGACCACCGATCCAGCGTTCTCATCGATGACGGCTGTCTCTCTCCTTCGAGCCCAACGCCCGATCCTTTTGCGACACCCAGACCGGAGACGATCACACGGAGACGGCCCCGAGCCAGCCGAGCTG